TCAGGTGGGGACTCAGACTGGGTATTACATTGATTATAATTATTCTACCATGTTTGAGGTATGTATTATCAGTATCCGCTCGGAATGGTCGCCGGTCCATTCTGGGTTCTGGTGGCCTTAGTCTGCCCACTAGAGTGTGCACATGGTGTCCGGCATTTATGATGGCAGATGTTCAGGTATCAGTCAGGTGATGATTATCACAACATCAGTATCAGATCATGATATTCAGTACCGGTTTCAGTTCAGTTCAGTTATATATGCCAGGATCATGATATTGTAATTATTTTCACTGTTTACTTTAGTATGAGTTTCTGCGGAGTACAGTGGATTTAGTGCTCACGCCCCACATTTTTCATGTTTTTCAGGTAACAGAGTCGGAGCCGAAGAGTGAGCTGGCGGCCAGTTCAGGACTTTTAGTCATGTGTTTAAAAATGTTTTGACGACGCTACGTTTTTCCGCTGTTTATGACTATTTGAGGAATTTAGCTTTTGATCCGACTTTCAGTCGGTTAATATGTTATGTTAAACCGTTTGTTTTCTTTAAAACTAAAATAACGGTTTTTCAGATTAAGTTATGTTTTATGGTAGCACTCCGAATCAGTATTTCGCAAATTAAATGTTTTATTTGGAAAAACTTTGCGAAAAACGCACTCTGATTTTCATGTCAAGGCGGGGTGTTACAGCTCGTATGTCTCGTTTTTTCCAAAATCGCTCAAATCACATATCATTTTTCTCTTATCAAATTTATATCATTTAGTCTAAGCCGTAAAATTCGAGTTTTGTCATTGTACCTTAGATCGTTCGAAACGAGCGGGTCAAGAATAGCCCGGGCTAAGAAACGAAGAAAAATGGAGCAACCGGGCCGGATCTAAAGCTTTAGACTACGGATCCAGGCTGCAAGGTCGCTGCCGGGTCGGGTTTCTGGCTGCTCGAGTCGGGATCCGAGGTGCTGGCCGTGGAGGAGCTTCTTTTTCTGGCGAGTTCGGACCCCGGGTGCGTGGAGGCAAGCTGGAAGGTGTTTGGTCGTGAGCTTGTGCGAGATGGACGGCGGGAGCTGCACAACGGAGCTCGAGCTGCGGGCTGGTGTGTGAATAGAAGATGAAAACGAGGGCTGGCCGTGAAAG